GAAAACTATATATATATATATATATATATACACAAAGTCAAGCCCCGCTATAGTAAGCCTTCAAGAGACCGAAATTTCCGTTCACTATAACCGGGACTTTACTATATCCGTCAACAATTTTAACTAATTGTTCCAACCCTACCTTTTTTTTTATATGCATTATTTAAATAAATGACCAATATAATGAAACACAAAAATGAATGAAAAATAATAAGTAGTAACAAAAAAATTTTTAACTTTTATTTCTTTATTACTCTTCGTCTTGCGTGCAAAAAAAAATGAATAAGCTTTCTCTGATGAGCAATCCTCAACATCAGATCTGGAAACACTCTTCCAGACTCTCCAATAATTTTTCCTGAATTTATGTTATTCCGCTTTTTGAACCTGTCTAACCAGCCATTCGAGCTCATAAAAGTAGTATCACGAAATCGCTTAGCAAATTCACCGGCTTTGACTTGAAGCATTTGTCCAGCCATTGCATTATGACCACCCTCCATCTATAACAATGGGGTCGCCCAGGTTTTCATGGTTTCTCGCCCAGGAACAATGTTTTCATGGGTCACATTAGGACCCATAACTCCCATAGAGCAATCCCTGACGTCAGTAAGCTACTTGAACATAGTTGCAGACCAGGTTCACCCATTCATAGCAACAGTTTTTCCTGCGGGGGATGGTGTTTACCAACAGGATAATGCACCATGTCATAAGGGTCGAATCGTCGAAGAACATTCCAGTGACTTTCAATTCATGTCTTGGCCCCCAAATTCACCTGACCTTAATCCAATAGAGTATTTGTGGTCCTGCATCGAAAACCGAATTCGTGCTGCCACGCTACCCCCTCGCAATGTGAAAGAATTGCAGGACCAGTTGGTGAGCGCTTGGTACCAGATACCTCAGACTATATAGACTCAGACTATTTAAATACTTACGGACAAAGCATTTTACTTCTTTCTTTAATACTTTTCTCTAAAAGAGGAGAAGGATCTCCAATGCATTCCGTGAAATCTTGAATTGTTTCAAGAGTGCAATCAGCTGAAACCTGCAGTTCTGTAAGAAAGATAATAAGAGTATTTATAATCACATTATTTGCTAAGCATTGTTGACATGGATATATGACATTGTTGATCTGAGAAGCAGTGTCAGTACAATTAGTATAATTTTATCACTTAAAAAAAAATATTTTAAGCATTTTTTTCTCTTTGTTTGCTTTTACAAAGCTACTGTTTTAGTAAAAGTGATATTTGATTCATTATTTTTACTTCAAACAGTAGTATCCAATATTATTTTTTACATACAAGATAAAATAATATTGAATTTTTTGGATCATTGGAAGATCAGAATTTTTAATTACAAAGAAAAATTATAAGAAAGGCAAGAAATTCGATTCTTTTGGATGGTCTTATGCCATATAAATATCTTTTAATTTTAAAGTAGTTGATTTTATATTATGAGCAAAAGGTATAGAAATGAACGATAAAGGTGCTATTCAATGTTCGAGAAATGCTAAAAATTAAAATTTTTCCATGTAGTTATTAAAAATAACAAAAAAGAAGTTAACTAAGTTTAAATAATTAAATTTCTTTAAATATGTTTATTTTATTGCATTCATGAGTTTACTTTCTTCTTAGCTAAATATTTCTAAATAAAATTCACATTTTCTGCCTTTATTTGAGTCGGTTCTCGGGGTTTTAAGCGGTTCATTTCCCCTCGGTTATTTTAACTCACATTTTTATTATTATTAATATCCCAGAAAATTGCAAACCTATTTCAATGCAGTTTTCTTTGATTTATAAAATGGACAAATTCTAATAAAGCATAATTTCGTTTTGTTTAAAAAATTTTCTAAAAAAATCTATATTAAATTTGGATTCTAAAAATGTTCTGTAGAAATAAGTCAAACAATTCATTCGAAGATATTTAATTTAACCACACATTACTAGTAGTACATTACTAGTCATATTTTACTAGCATTACTGCATGTATTAATCCTTTGACACAGACAAGACACCGGTGTCTCTTTTATATATATTTTTTTGGCGCTCTGTATTTTGGTATTTTTCAATTAAATATATTTTTGTAATTTTTAATTATTAAAACAATGCAATAGTTGCTAAAAATATATTCGATTATCTGCATTATTTGTGTATTAAAGTATGAAATCCGAAAAGAGTTTTAAAAAAAAATCTTTTTTAATGCTTTTTTAATTCAATTTTCTTTTTTAATTCAAACTCAAAAATTTATCAATTTTATAAATTAAAGAAATTCTAATGATGACATACTGTTTCTCTTCCAGCTAAATAAGTACAATTTTAAAAAATTATTGTTTTTGAAGGTAGTCTAGTTTGCAAGATTTTGACTTGAAAGCAGAAGAACACAGGTGTTTCATGTTGTTTTTCCCAACCATAAACTATTAAAATTTTAAATGTAATATTTTCACATATTTTGGCCTAAATTAATACCAAATATGAAAAAATGTGTTTTAAAAAATTCTGCCTTAAAGGGATGAATTAAGGAAAAAAAAATATTTCAACCGATAACTACTCCGAATTTTTTGTGGCAGAAATACTAGTTTTACTCACAGAGCATTAGCATAAGGTAGTCTAAAATTTTTAATCAATTGCTCGATTTTGTCAAAAATTATTTAAATCAACTGAATAAATGAATGTTCCGAACTTTTCTTTTATATTCTACTACTTGAATTTTCAACAATCAGTAAAAAATTTATCAAATTCAATAATTTATATAATATATCATTAAAACCGTTAAAAAAAAGGGGTAGATATTTAAAATTCGATTCACATCTTTCGATCATGGTAGGAATGCTAAGTAATTTTGACCCTGGTCATGAATGGACAAGACACCAAGCTTTCACGCCACAAACAATTTGAGAACTTTCAACCACGTTAGATTTAATGTACACCTTGCTGCGTATACACACCGGTTTAATCAGCTGCCGGTATCAAACTTACGAACCCCAGCTCTCCACAGCGGAGAGAGCTTAAAATTCTACATATTTATTTCATCCTTGAAGTTTTGCCTGCAATTTTCTTATATCATACTAAATACTTCTTTAAAATATTAATTATTTGAAAAGTGAATAACACAGGGTGGTTTTGATGTGTATCACTAACTGAATTAATGAGGCTATCTAAGGTAATTTTTTTTGGAGATGACATGGTCCCGTAGTGAACTGATCGTCAAGACACGGTTCCCAGCAGATCGCCAAAGTCAAGCATCATTGGCTGCAGTCAGTATGCGGGTGGGTGACCACTTGGGTCAGTCTGCGAAGGGTGCTTGTGCGGTATTGATCCTCGTTAAACTGTTCTACCGTAAAGTGATCAACTTCACGCACAGCTCGTTGCGGGGGTGCCACCACCATTGCAGAGGATCAAAATTGTGATGGCATGTCTTCGGATCATCCTCAGGATGTTTCCCTGACCTTCGACAACTGCCCATTGTCCAGCTCTAGTGCGACGTTAATAAAATACAACTATAATTACAATTTCGGATACAGTTATGAGTCTGTGGTATCAGCCAGTTAAAATTTCTGGTAGAGGACTTTGAATTCTTATATACTGTCAAACTAATAGGCCCACAAAAAAATATCAACATTTTCTGAGACTCATTTTAATGGAATGCTGATTACAGTTCAATATGCATTATTTTCATAATCTTTTAAAGTTAATTTTGTGTTTATTTGGGGTAGAAATTTACATTTTTCATTTGAAAAATTTGTGTGAGAAGAGTTTGAAATTTGATGTTTGAAAATAAATTATGTTATTAAAATCAATAACCTTTATGCAATGTTGTCCCAGGTAAACAAGCCTCTTTCAATGCAAATAATACACGATACGGCTCCTTGTGGAATTTCACGTTTTGATTGAAAACAGCTTCAGATAAGCAGTTGAAAAATCTTGACTGTGTCCTATAATATGAACAAAAATTTATTTACGAAAAAAAATAATATTATTTTATGTAGGACTCTTTAAAATCAACAAAATTTATGAATATAATAAAATAATAAAATTTTACTTTATTATTGTTAAATAAAATTTTATTTTATTTAAGGACAAAATTTTATGTAGGATATTTGAAGGAACATTAAATATTACTGTCAGATTTTTACCAAGTTTGCACAAAACAAAAGTATTGAATTACAAATTAAAATAAGAAGTATATTTTTAAAAATATTTCATTGCATTTAAAAAAATTCGGACTACAATAACTTTAATGTGCATCCATGAATAAAACAATTAATGTGCAACAGATATCTAATTGTTAAGATATAAAACTTTAAAAAGGTTGATATTAAAACTTACATAGTAGCACACAAAATGTTCAATGACAAGATTGAGGTTTGTCTGCTGCAACCACCAGAGAATAGATATTTACATTTAAAATTTACAAATGTGTGTGTAAATATTTTCCAAGATGACTGGTTTCAAAAAGTTAAATCGGAGAATTTCTTCGAGAAAATTTCTGATACACACATGCTAAATTATATTCACAAAATACAAAAAAATGAAATAAAAAAGAGCAACATACACGATTGTTTTATATTTGAATAAATATTTTCTTGGAAGCAAAAGCTGAGAAAAATTTTTTTTTTTGCCCCGTTGGTATGATAGATTTCACAGAAACGAAGAAATTAGGTTTTTATTAACGAGAAAAGTATTTTAAACCCATATAGATTATTTGCGAAAAAAATGACAACTAATGTCCGCAAAAAAATGACAACTAATATATTTTAGTTCGCGGGCCATAAGAAAGGCTTAGCTGGCAGGATGCGGCCCCCGGGTCGCCAGTTGGAAACCACTGATCTAGAGCTTTCCATCATCCATCAAAAATATATGAGTAATTCATTTTCAACCATATCGCACTATTTTTTCCCGTTCATTTGGGTGCTCTACCTACATAAATTGTTCTATTACTAGCAAGCTTTAGTAGTAAATAGAAAGTTAAATGATATAAATTTCTTACTTGCAAAAACTAAAATCCTTTAATATGTCCGCATTTCTATTTTCTTCACATTTTTCAGCTGCTATCAGGAAATTCTTCATGTCACAAGCAACATACCCAGCCAAAGCTATAAAAACACAATCGTTTCCAAAAATTTATTTACTGCAAATTTAAGAACTAAATGTTTAGTTTATTTTAAAATATTTGTTACACGTTACTTCTATAAGTTTTTTGGTAATTATTAATGCTTCAAAAGCAAGATACACATGAACTTTCTTAACAATTAAATTTGGATCCAGTAAAAAATAAATATAAAAATAGCAATAACGATTGGAACTTGGCATGCCAATGTTCCTAATAATTTACACCTAAGTATGCTGATTAATAATTGCAAATAGTAACAGTAGGGAAATTTTTCTTCTTTTTTTTTTGCTTCATGAGATTTTTTTTTAACAGATCTTAGATATTTTCATATCACTGATTTGAAATCTGTAATCGATTTCTCTTTCCAAGCTTTTTTAGTCTATAGTTTTTGTCGAAATGTATATGTTTTAAATCGCTTTATATAACATAAGGTCAAGTAAATGTTGCGACAAACATCTAAGAAAGTTAGGGCACATCATGATGATGAAAATTGCATGAGGAATCCATGCCCAGAAACGTCATCATGCGTCACCAAGGGTGATTTCCTATTATAAATTGTTTCTTCGTGTGCTTCTTAACAGGTCATAATAGGGAAGTACCAGTACCGCGTACGACGACTTCTCCGGGCATGGGTTCTTGTGCTATTTTAATCCTCATGATATGATCTAACTCTCCTAGAAGTTTCTCGAAACATTTACACAACCCCATGTAATTGTTATACAGGGTTATTCCTAAACCCCTCTGTTTACTACAACTGGATTCAGTGGTACATGTTACTGCCATCTACCGGCAACTGCTTAAATTAAAACTTGAATACTTTCGGAATAATTTCATCTGTTCTTTTTCGCCATATTCGTCTTCGTTTTTTACTATAACGCTTCGAAACCCCGGAGGGAATTATGAATAACGCTGTATATAACGTTTTTAAACTTGTGACTTTCGTTAAAAAATAGACTGAAAATGTCATTTTAAAAAAGTCTGTGTCTTTAGGAGCAAAACTAATTTCAGACTTTGAATCCTCACACCCGAAGTATTTGTATAAAAGCACCAGAAAAAAAAAATCTGTTCTCCCATTGAAATTTAAATTCAAAAATGAGACAGAAAATTTACTATTCGCATATTTAATACATATTTGTTTTAAATGGACCTAAACAGTGTCAATAATTTAGTTAAGGGATGGTTAGGAAACAAATGAAACTTTTCTGAGTTGTTTTATTATTTTCATCATTGCTCAAATACATTTTAAAAATGTAAAGGTGAGCTATTCGATGATTTTTAAAAGATTCATAAAAACGTGACTTTTTGAATCTCTTTGAATGAGCACATATTTTTTAAATGAAACAAGGTTTAAATTAAATCCAGACTTTCCAAATTTCCTTTACTTTAATTCATGAATTTATATTTTATTTTAATTACAAACTTTCATCGCAGTTTCATCTCATTTGGTTTCGATTTATAAATTTTTTTCTCTAACTTAATACATTGTTATAATTTTATTACTAATCATTTTGTTGTGGTATTTCAGCATAAAACATTACACAGTGGGCCAGCATCCAAGGTTTCGTGGCCAAAATTAGTATTTCGATAAAATTTGTCTCAAAATTTGGGGGTTTTTATTTAGGGTTTTTTATGTGCAGGTAAATTGAATTCATAGTTGAAATTTTGAAATACACTAAAAATACCCCAAAAAACAAAATGGCGGCTGAAATATGGCGAGCAAAAATAAAAATAATAATATAGTACGTTTAAATATTAATATAGCAATGAAAATATAATAATTTTTGTAATTTTATATTAAAAATGAAAAGCAAATTATATTTCCGAAGTAATATTACAAAATAACGCGAAAACATGAAAAAAAAAACATAATTTTTCTTTTTTGGTATATTTAGTCCTTCTTTGCAATACGGGCAAAATGGTGCAGGTTTTTTTCGAAAGAAGAAGCATCAGAGAAGACAACAAAAAAAAAGTTTAGCTAATTACCTCGTGGAACTTTTTAGAACTAAGTTTCGAAAGTTATTCAAACATTGTAAAATGTCAAATGATAAGATATAAACTATAAGTTTGTCAAGAGTATTAACTAATCCAACAAATTGAAAAATTGTACTATAATTTCAGACTAATTACTCTGATAAAAATGTAACAGAAAGGTGAAATTCCTA